GGGTCTCCGGTGTGTATGCGGGGTTTGGCTCGGAATGCCCCACAGATAATTTTGAATAGCATGTTGGAATGGTCATTCGAAGGTGATTAAGCATATCGTTTTGTCTATCCCTTTGAATGTGGCAGGGCTGCTATTCCCGGCACAGGGGTCGGAGTTTCAACAGCTCCTTTTGCAGCCTCGATTACCTCTCACCAACAATTTTAACTTTTTCGCTTTGTTCAACCAGGATCATTCAAGATGGAGAGACTCAAGAAGTGTCAACATATAGACAACATTCCGGATGGTCGTTGATGAATTATGTAGCTATCTCTAGTCACTAATTAGCTTATTCTGTCTCGATTTTCTTTAAATCATGTCCCGTGGGCAGGATTCATGTAAATTTAGGTTGTGATGCACTAACCCAGGAGGAATTTCGTTAGCTCCTCTCAGCGCTGTTGTAGTCTTTAAAAAGCAATTCTTAAAAGAATTTCTCCCATTGCTTGAACTTCGAGTGTTGTAACCTTGAAGATGTTGGTTATGCTTATACGGCATAAGTTAGAAAAGCAAAATCCATCCAACTTCCCTCTATTACTTCCTGTCCGCAATGGTCTCTTTTCTATTGGTATTCAGATTGTAGCTGTCTGTTACAGCGTCATGGCTCATGCATCCAGGGGATTTACTCCAGGAGCTAAATTCTCCGATTTCCCCATGGTCTTTTCTGTTTGCGTTTCTCACCTAATTTCTTTACTCCCTTTCTTAAGAACTCTAAGAATGACTCTCAAGGCTCTGTTTCACTTATCTATTTATTAATTAGTTATAAATTCTGTCCCTTCTCATCTATGATTAATTTCTTTAAAATCCCCTCCATTTATCCTAACTAACGTAGCACTTCTCTCTAAGCCAGTTCAGGACTCATCAGTTTCTGCCCTCAAAAGCTGCTGTTTACCCCCCTCCCTTTATACCGGTCATTCGTTCCGGATTGGGGCAGCCACCACAGCAGCCGAACGAGGAGTGTCTACATCAGCTATCAAAATAATGGGAAGATGGTCTTCCTCAGCTTTTGAATCCTACATAAGAACTGATTCAAAAATGATCATTGAAGCCCAGCAAGCTCTCCATTAATAATCCAGGTAAATCCTCTCGCAACTACTGGTGGTGGTGGTACTACGTTATCCACTTGAGCGCAGTTCAAATTGCACTATCTGATAAAGCCCCTCTGTACTCGTCTCTGTGTTTGTGTCTTGTCCCGCGGTGTCTCCGCTCGTCTTCTGTCTTCACGTGATCCTCCTCGGCCACTAGTTTAGCCGTGGTCCGTGCAGGCTATCATAGCTTTGTTCTTACGGTCCATCGCGGCCCGGTCCGTCTGGTCTAGTGGCCTTGTTTCGTGAATATTGTCTTTCATGTGGCATTAGCGGTCGGTGTGGCTCCTAAGCGGTCTCGTCTCTGTGGTCTCCCATGGCCGTGTGGCCTATCGTGGCCTTGTCCTCTAAGGTCCATCGTGGCCTCGTGACCTCTAGGGGTCTTGGTTTTATGTGGCTTTATGGCCGTGTCTATGATTAGCTCGTTATGTGTGGCATATTGAAGCCTGTCCTACATGTGGCCATCCGTGGTCTGTGGTCCATTGCGACCTTCTGTGTGGCTTAGCAGCTGTGTCTTATAGGCTTGTCTTCATGTGGCATTAGCGGCCGGTGTGGCTCCTAAGCGGTCTCGTCTCTGTGGTCTCCCATGGCCGTGTGGCCTATCGTGGCCTTGTCCTCTAAGGTCCATCGTGGCCTCGTGACCTCTAGGGGTCTTGGTTTTATGTGGCTCTATGGCCGTGTCTATGATTAGCTCGTTATGTGTGGCATATTGAAGCCTGTCCTACATGTGGCCATCCGTGGTCCGTGGTCCATCGCGACCTTCTGTGTGGCTTAGCAGCTGTGTCTTATAGGTTTGTCTTCATGTGGCATTAGCGGCCGGTGTGGCTCCTAAGCGGTCTCGTCTCTGTGGTCTCCCATGGCCGTGTGGCCTACCGTGGCCTTGTCCTCCAAGGTCCATCGTGGCCTAGTGACCTCTAGGGGTCTTGGTTTTATGTGGCTCTATGGCCGTGTCTATGATTAGCTCGTTATGTGTGGCATATTGAAGCCTGTCCCACACGTGGCCATCCGTGGTCCGTGGTCCATCGCGACCTTCTGTGTGGCTTAGCAGCTCTGTATTATAGGTTTGTCTTCATGTGGCATTAGCGGCCGGTGTGGCTCCTAAGCGGTCTCGTCTCTGTGGTCTCTCATGGCCATATGGCCTACCATGGCCTTTTCCTATATGTGGCTATCAGGGCCTGCGGTCAAGCTGACCTCGTGTTTATGTAGTTTATCATGGCCTGTGGTCACGTTGACCTTGTGTTTATGTGGTCTATCATGGCCTGCGGTCAAGCTGACCTTGTGTTTATGTGGTCTATCACGGCCTGTGGTCAAGCTGACCTTGTGTTTATGTGGTCCATCGTGGCCTGTGGTCAAGCTGACCTTGTGTTTATGTGGTCTATCATGGCCTGTGGTCAAGCTGACCTTGTGTTTATGTGGTCCATCGTGGCCTGTGGTCAAGCTGACCTTGTGTTTATGTGGCTATCACGGCCTGTGGTCAAGCTGACCTTGTATTTATGTGGTCCATCGTGGCCTGTGGTCAAGCTGACCTTGTGTTTATGTGGTCTATCATGGCCTGCGGTCAAGCTGACCTCGTGTTTATGTGGTCCATCGTGGCCTGTGGTCAAGCTGACCTTGTGTTTATGTGGTCTATCATGGCCTGTGGTCAAGCTGACCTTGTGTTTATGTGGTCCATCGCGGCCTGTGGTCAAGCTGACCTTGTGTTTATGTGGTCTATCATGGCCTGCGGTCAAGCTGACCTCGCGTTTATGTGGTCTATCATGGCCTGTGGTCAAGCTGACCTTGTGTTTATGTGGCCTATCATGGCTGTGGTCAGGCTGACCTTGTGTTTATGCGGTCTATCATGGCCTGTGGTCAAGCTGACCTCGTGTTATGTGGTCTAGCATGACGGTCCGTTGGGCCCGGTTCTATATAAATATATAAATAAATAATTTTGTTAATAAATATTGTTCATCTTATCTGTATTCTCCTTTCTCGTTTCAGGAACCGCAGGACCCACGACTGGTGGGTATATTTATTTACAGTTCTTTGGGGGTGGGCTCCGTCCTTGTGGAATTATTCTTCCACTTCTCTTTGGGGGTCGGCTGCGCCCCCGCCTTCATCTCAGGCGGGACATGCAGATTCGGCTAACCTCGCTTTGCTCGCTAAGGACGGGGCCTACGCCAAAGAACTCATAAATTTATGCTTGCTGAGCTGTCAATAAATGTATATAGCCATTCAATTTATCTCCCGAGTCTTTCTGGTAGAAATGGAAGCTTTAGCTTAAGTTCTGTCAGGAAGACTCAATCAGCGCGTCATGTATTACCTCATCCCTATCCAATCAGGTGTTAACAGTCACAGTATATAAGATTGGTACTTACACTTATCTGAGTTCGCAGATGCTGACGCTGCCATTCACCTCCATCCTCCCCAACCACCACCAAGACGGTACCTTCCCCTCCATCCTCCCCATCACCACCACCAGGATGGTCCCTTCCTTACCTCTAGGGGGTCGGCTGCGCCCCCGCCTTCATCTCAGGCGGGAAATGCAGATTCGGCTAACCTCGCTTTGCTCGCTAAGGACGGGGCCTACGCCAAAGAACTCATAAATTTATGCTTGCTGAGCTGTCAATAAATGTATATAGCCATTCAATTTATCTCCCGAGTCTTTCTGGTAGAACTATAACTTTAATGGTCTATTAGATTCAAAGTTTAAAACTCATGTTTGCTGATAAATTGAAGACATGCATAAAGTCATGTGAAATTCTGCAGTGTACTAGAGTTAATAGTGTGATTATTGGGGTTTTGTATGTCACAGGTTTTTTTTTGCATATTTGTCACATACACCCATCTTTACACCACTGTTTTTGTTTCTGCAATCAATTGGAAAATAAATGTGTGAAAAGCATTCATGTTCTGTGATGTCTTTGTTCTTTTCTAATTTTTTGAAATTACAAACAGAGCATGCTTGAATTTGTATTTTATTGGTCCATTAGCACCACACCACATACATTGATGTCTGTAGATTGGCTTCTGCTAAATTCTTTTCTGCTTTATCGGTTTCCTATTTTGATGTTTTCAGGTTGACAGCTTGACGAAACTACACACTGTAAAAAATTCACCCGTATATTTACAGTAAAGAACTGGCAGCTGTGGTTCCAGCCCTTTACCGTAATTTTACGGTTTCAACAATGCTGTAATTTTACAGTAAAGTACTGGCAGTAGGGATGCTCATTTTGACCGTTTAACCGTTAACCGATAGTAAAAATTTTGACCGATTAATACTATCAGTTAAACGGTTTAAAACGTTTTTTTAAGCTTTTTTTTTTTTTTTTTTTTTTTGCTGCATGGTTTAAAAAACAAAACTATATAGGTTTTACTATATAGTTAAAACTATGTATTAACTCACGGGGCGCATCGACACGCGCAACCACACACGTGCCTGCAGACATTTTTTTACCGAGCAAGCAAAATGAAGCGATCGAAAAGAAGCACTGTGTGGGACCATTTCAACAGAAAGGGCGAAGACGAGGTTACCTGTAAAATATGCTGCGCTGTTTTAAAATACAGCAGTAGTACGAGTACGATGCAGTATCATTTGAGAAGCAAACATCCACAAGCATCGAGTGATGAAGGGCAACAAACTTTGCCCGCCATGTTGTCAGGGAGAAGATGCGATGCACGGCGATCTGAGGAGATAACGCAGAGAATCTGTTCAATGGTTGTAAAAGACACTTTGCCCATAAGTGTCGTCTGTGGTGAAGGTTTTCAAGAGCTACTGTGCTATATTGAGCCCAATTACGAAATCCCATCAAGATGCACTATTACCCGTAGAATTGAAGCCCGTTTTGAGGAGAGAAAAAAATCGCTTAAATCACAACTCAAAAGCACAAAGTGCGTGGCCCTTACGACTGACTGCTGGACGGCACTCACAACGGAGAGCTATATAACAATAACGTGTCACTACATCGATGAGGACTGGCAAGTTAATTCAGCTGTCCTTCTAACACAGAGTATGCCTAGCAGACACACAGCTGAGAACCTTGCAGCTAAACTAATTGATGCGGTGGAGACATGGGGACTTAATGGGAAAGTGTCTGCATGTGTTCATGACAATGCACGCAACATTGTGGCTGCAAACTCTCCAGAACGGGTGAACTGGGAGTCGGTTCCGTGTTTTGCTCATACACTACAGCTAGCTGTAAATGATGGATTTAATGTGTTCGTGCATCGGGTCATCGTTGCAGCTGGGCGCCTGGTTAGGCATTTTAACCACAGCACCCCTGCATGCAAGGCACTGGAAGATAAACAATCACAAATGAAACTTCCGAAACACCAGCTCATTCAGTCTTGTAAAACAAGATGGAACTCGGTGTGTGACATGTTCGGAAGACTTCTCGAACAAAGGTGGGCTGTTACAGCTGTTCTGTCTGACCGAACGGTTACAAGGCTGCAAGATGCCAGAACCCTGGAGATACGAGACGAACACTGGCAAATAATGGAGGAGATTGCACCCGTGTTGGAAACTTTAAAATGTGCAACCACCATAATGTCATCAGAAAAGAACGTTTCAATTTCCAACATTTACCCCATCACCTTTAGCCTGCTGAACACACACCTGATGAGAGCCGAGGATGACGGCCACAGAGTGACGGAGTTCAAGGCAAAAGTTCGGCAGTCCTTAAGTGGCCGCATGCAGGTAGTTATTATTATTATTAGGCTATTATTATTATCATTACTATTATTGTCGTTGTTTTGTATTAATTGGGGGGTTATATGTTCGTGACAGGTTGACAAGGATGATCTGGTGGCCAAACCTGCGCTGATCGCCTCTGTCCTGGACCCTCGCCATAAACATCTCCCGTTTTTTGCACAAACGGAGAAAGAAGCCGCAAAAGCAAAACTTATTGAAATGTGTGCTGCTATGGAAATGGCCAATGCGGAAGATGAGACAGCGGTGTCTGCTACCCAAGCTGGAGATAAAGACCGCAGCCAAAGTAACGCCATGATGATGCTCCTGGGAGATGACTACAGCGCCCCTCGTCAAGCCACTGATTATCCAGAAGAGGTTGACATCTACATGAGAGACAATCCTCCATCTCTGGATATTAATCCTCTTGACTGGTGGAAAGCAAATGAAAGGCGCTTCCCGAAGCTGGCCACTCTAGCGAGACGTTACCTGTGTATTCCCGGGACATCTGTGCCATCGGAGAGGGTGTTTTCTGCCGCGGGTCTAACCGTCAACAGGCTGCGCTCCAGACTAACCCCAAATCACGTTGACATGTTGCTTTTTTTAAATAAAAATTAGACACGGTGTGGATTGAGGTAGGGCTGCTATTTTTATTTAACGAAAAATCTTAGTCTAACGGAAAAAAATGGCGGCTTTTAATCCGTTTCGTTCAAACGGATTCACTGTTTTCTTTTTGTCATGTTAATTTGTTAATTATCTAAGTGTAAAAATATATATATTAAGTGTAGGCATATTTCATGTTTTTTTTTTTGTATTATTTTATTCTGTTTTTCCTCTGTTGTCACAAAATTTGATCTGAATCCAGGTTCTGTGGTTGATCTTTTCTTTATGCTGCTGATTGCACTTTGCACATTAAAATAAACCCTTTGATAAATAAATACAATTGTTTTTATTTTTAACGGGTCACAGATACGCATTTTATTTTTATTTAATGCCAATTCAATATTAACGTTATAATCTTATCAGTTAACGGTTAATAATCGATTTACGAGCGGCGGTTGTCGGTCGGGAAAAATAACCGAAATGAGCATCCCTAACTGGCAGCTGTGGTTCCAGCCCTTTACCGTAATTTTACGGTTCCAACAATGCTGTAATTTTACAGTAAAGTACTGGCAGCTGTGGTTCCAGCCCTTTACCGTAATTTTACGGTTTCAACAATGCTGTAATTTCACAGTAAAGTACTGGCAGCTGTGGTTCCAGCCCTTTACCGTAATTTTACAGTTTTTAATTTTAAGGCTGTGCTGTAATTTCACAAAGTACTGGCAGCATAAAGTAAGAATATAAATACTGTTTTTTATTTACTCTATTGTCTGATATCTATTAACATCCCTATATGTAGCATAATGTATACAGACATTCCAAACAGACTTTTTACTCAATGGAAAAAATAAAGACAAAATAGATTATGTATTAGTACATTGTTTGCCATTTATTTAAAATAAGTAACAGGTTTTAACAATACATTAACAGTATTTAAGGAAAAAAAGTCACAGAAAATACATTTTAAAATTCAATGAGAGGAACCAGTAGGCAAACACAGAAACATTACAAAGAGGCAAAAAAAACCCGAACAAACAAAACACTAAAACCAGCCAAAATGTCACATCAGCAACCAGGCCAGAGATTAAGTCTGGGTCTGAGAGGAAAACATTGAGAACCAATGGATAAAAAAAATCCTTGATAGAGGAAAAAAAAAAAAAAAAACACTGCCAAAATATCCCAAACCTGCTTTTGAATGATCTGGCCTGAGAGGAAGTCCAGATCTGAGAGGACATAATCACGAGAACCAATGGGTGAAGAAATGTAGAAAGAGGCAAAAAACAGCCAATACGTCCCACATCAGCTTTTGACAGATCTGGTCTGAGAGGAAATCCAGGTCTGAGAGTAAAGAAAATCAAGAAAATCTTAGTGCTAAAATAAAGCACATTGCAAAAAGTGATCACATACTCTGCAAAAAGTGATCACATACTCTGCAAAAAGTGATCACATACTCTGCAAAAAGTGATCACATACTCTGCAAAAAGTGATCACATACTCTGCAAACACTTTTAAAAGAAACATAAAATGATCATGTTAATGATCTTAATTCTTTTGTCACTTAAAAAACAACACCACGATCGTAACATTAATTCACAAGGCCACCGTGGATGAATCAATGTCTTCTAAATCTGAAGCCAAACGATAGATGTGTGTAATAAAAATATTAATCGTTTTAACTCATTTTATTTTCGTGTAAGAAAAACAAAAATAAAATAAATACTAAATGAACTATAAATCATTACTTACGATCTACTGCCATAAGAGTGTTCACCAGGGACATGGTGACGTGACAGAGAATTGTGAAGCTCATGTGTCGGTCATCCTTGCTTCTGTGTTACTTCTGGAATATCAAATGCAAAAATGTTAAGGTTACTGCATGATTGTGCACAAAGTTTGCAAGTAAGTTATACATGGCGTGAAAGTTAAACTCACCAAAGATTAGGGCAAACTGTCTCAGTAAAACATTTACATCAAGTGAAGGATTCCTAGGGAAAAAAAAGAATATAATTATTTCGAAATCTTTAACCAAGCAAAGAAAATCGACGTCAGAGTGCGGAGAACATTGAATAGTGAAATGCCTCAGCTGTTGATAACTGTCTGTCTGCAAAAACGTGTTTCGCGCCGCAAAGAATATCCGTCTCTCGTCTTTCAAACACAACCTCTTTGACTTAATACTATAACGTTAGGCCTAACTTACATGTGAATCTCACAAAAACGCAGGTACTTGCATCACTAAATCGAAAAAAACAAAATACATATCTAATTTGCTTTGGGAATTTTAATATTATTTGCATGGAAACTAAACAAATTGACCACTACATTTTAATTACAACATTGGATCTGGATATTTCGAGTTGTTTTGTAATTATTCTCCATCTTATGTGCATGATATTATGCGAATTGATGCATCTGGTAATTCGCACCGTGTAACGTTACTGAATCACAAATTCATATAAATCGAGTTAAGGGTTAGGCTACTACAAAAGAAAGCCCAACTAATTTCTAAATGGTAACAACTTTAGCCAAGCAAAGAATTCGCAGTAATAATCGCATAGATTTACGTTAGTAATCGGAGCTCAGAGAGCTTTCATTAGCAGCTAGGCGAAATGTCTCAACCGTCGAGCTCTGTCTTCAAAACGCGATTCGCGCTCAGTAAGCAGTTAAAAAAAATACCTCATGAAAAAGGCGATTTTACAGGTACTCTGGAGCAACATAATAGAATAACAGCAAAGAAATAAACTTACCTTGAACAGTGGCCTTCTTTAAGACAGCAGGAGTGTTGCGAAACCATTTTGTTCTTTGACTGCTTTCTGTTCGAAAAGAGACCGCGTTGAAGATGCCCCGCCCACACGTGCTATTTTTTACAGTCCAAGACTGTTTTTTCCAGGAACAAATTGGTTTACACATAAATGCTGTAAATTTACAGCAAGCAATTAATTTATGGAACATAGGCTGTAAATTTACAGGATAAAACTGTTTATTGAAATAACAGTATTTTACTGTTGGAAATTGGCTGTATTTTTACAGGAATTTTTAACAGTGCAGCTTTTTCCCAAGTGCTCAATATGTAAAGGCATCATGAAGGAGGTGATAAAAAGCATCTCCTCTAAGACAACTCCGGTGAGTATCATGATTACTGTCGCAGTGTTTAACTGTATGTGCCTTTCACAACAGCTTTTACTAATGACATAATTTCCCTCAGGCTGAAATCAAAGACATGCTGAACAAAACCTGTGAGAAAGCCGGTCCACTGAAATCTACGTGCAAGCAATTGGTTGATAAGTATTTGAACACTTTGATTGATGAGCTGATGAGTGGTAAAGGGCCAGAAATCATCTGTATTAAAGTTCATGCCTGCAAGTAAGTGGCACAGTAATATGCAGTGTTGGGGGTAACTAGTAAAAGTAATTTGTAAAGTAATGTAGTAAACTAGTAAAGTAATGCATGACTTTTACAAAAAAAAATACCTGAGATACTTTTTCAAAGAAGTAACGCAATTTACTTTGTTTTCCCATTTATTGACTGAAAGCTCTTTTGTCCCCAGACTGATCTCATGAAATGGCGTATGTATGACACGCGAATTCGTATTTCTATTTTTGGCGTGCTATCAACACGCATAATCGCTTTTCAGCGTGTTTATCAACGCCTTTGACTTAACTACATTACTGTATATATAAATATATGACCTACCCCAGCCCCGTCCCTAAACCTACCCATCACTGGGGTAAATACCATTTATGAGTTCCCCTACCATCCTAGGAAAAAAAAATATCGCTCCACAGATGTAGATATAGATTTCGTTTCGCTCGGACATTTAACGGCGTACACATACACGCGGAATCACTCGGACATTTAACGGCGTACACATACACGTAAAAGATTTCGGCGTGGACATACACGCGGATAGCTCAAAATGCGTATAGATAACACGCCACTTGACTTGAAAGTGGCGTGTATGTTTACGCAAAGTCATGATGTCATGTTGTTGTCCCCATGTTGGGACAAATCGAAGTGCAGAGGCGTTGTGTGTAAACATGATGGTTATTGTAGTTCTAGACTAAATGTGAGCATGCATTTTCTCATCTCACTTGCACAAAAATAGATTCACATTCCTCAAAATGAATAAAATCAGTGAAATGCAGAATGAGAATATTATGCAAACCACCAATAACTAAATGTGTTAAATAAAACATAAATGTTTATGCTTTTATGCTTGGTCTTTACATATGTCCAAAAATAGCACTTTTTTGTTATAAAAAAACAAGCCCAGCCCAGGGGGGAAAAAAGTAACGTAACGCATTAATTTGCTAAAAAAAAGTAACTAAGTAACGCAATTAGTTACTTTTTAAGGAAGTAACGCAATATTGCAATGCATTACTTTTCAAAGTAACTTTCCCCAACACTGGTAATATGGTAATACATAACATGAGGAGATTTTGAATAACTTTTTTGTTTTGTTTGTTCTAGGCCAAAACCACTTTTAACAATTTCTGAAAGAGAATAAATGATTACTGTGAAAGCATTAAATGCATTACAATGAAAGCAAAATAAAATGATATGAAAAAAAATAGATATATCTGTTTTTTCTTTCATTTCGGTTGAATCCAAATGTTTTTCCAAGAAGCTAAATCAAAAGTGTTTACAATACATCATTAATACAATTTAACAGAATAAAAGGCTTTTTGAGGATATTCAAAAACTAAATGTATAAGAATATTGCATTGTTTGCCAGTGAGGTCTAAATAAAACCTAATAATACTTTTTAACAAGCACATGTTTCCAACAATGAATGCAGATGCTTGATAAGAGCATTGCAATGAAATGGCTCAGTCAAAAAGTATATATACATTTTAGAACACTCAACTGCTTCTTGCAGAATAAATATTTGTTCAGTCTGCTGTGATTATGACAGGTATACATGAGCTTTTGGATCTGCAGTTGAATGAAGTGTTCTTGTGGCTAACCACCAGACTCCTACCAAAAGTACCTATCACTGTCTCGCACTATCACGCCATTAAAAGTGCCCGATTACATGATGGTATTTCTGAATGATGTCTTATATTGTGTGACTACACAAGT